CAGTACCTTCTTTAACTGTGGTATTCTATTAGAGCTGACATTGGCTCTAGGAAGACAGTGTGACATTTTTTTCTCAGTGGCTGACCCAGGACTGATCCTGGTTACTATCCTGAGGTCTGGAAACAGCTGCAGAGCAAGGCTGCCAAAGGGAGCAACTATCATCGGTAACCTCCCACCGCATTGATAATAGCAGTGTTGGCTTTCTTGCAAGAGGATCATTCACCCTCCATCAACAGGTTTTAAAGGTCTGTCAGTGCCCCAAAGGACAATACAACATAATTTAAACACGTTTACATGCACTGAACTTCTTTTAATGCAATCTATTTTAATTGGATGAAGTTTAAGATCAAATCATTAAAATGACATGAAATTAAGAAAAGATACAAACAAAGCAAAAAAAAAAAGAAGGACCAATCTTACTCTGGATCATCCTTAACTTAAAATCAAACCTTTTGTCATTGTTTCATCTTGTGACTCGTGTTCAGTGTTCAAAAAAACACTATGAAGACATCTGTTGCTTTAGGCCACACTTAAAGTATTAATAATTACTCGACATAGCACCAGTGCTTAAAAAGCATAAGAACTGCAAACATTACATAGCCAAATCTGGTAAAAAGCACTTGCTCACTTTTCCTAAGAATTTAAAAAGCTTCCCCCCGAGTTATGTTTCTACAATTGACTTGCCACTTATGGCACTTTGTGACAGCAGCGTTTAGCACAAAGCATCACTGTGCACTAAGGTACAGCTTCTCAGACATCCAGTCTCTTAGCTTGGTTTGTGTGTGAAATGTCTCTGTTCAGACTATCTGCAGCAGCCAAGAGTTTGGCTGTGTGTATGAATGTGGCATCCAGTTGTGACCGATCGATGTGCGTAAAGGTAAACATGCGGTGGGATGCATGTCTGCCTGCAAAGAGAGGCGTTATATTACCTCTAATTTAATAAACAACAAACTGTTCCAAAAATCTTTTAGCAAAACAACTTTTTCATTTTATTTTTTAAGCAATTATGTGATCATGGGATACTTCTGTATGTGCCATTCAGTCAATAATGTGAATGCTTGTGGATAAACCTTGGTCAAATCTCAGTGTAGCAATGCAGATTCTTCATCCAGAGCATTAGTATTTCTTCCAAAGACTCTATGATGACAGCCTTGCATGTTTCCAGAGGATCTGGCAGAATGCATGCACTAATGACTGACAGCACCACAATCTCCACTTACTGTCCACATGGATAATGTTTCTCAACAGAAAAAAAATGTATTTAAAGTAATTAATCATAAGTGGTGTCTTCACTCATGGCAAAGCTGCCGCGAGATGGGAGAGTGACTCTGCTAAAGGTTACTACCTCCCTTAAATGCCAGATATGAAACACTGGCATTTGGATGTTCTGAATGGTAACTTTGCATTACCTTTGCTTTGATCTGAAGAGGAGCAGGCAAGACATTGAAGGTGGCGGTGCCTTCCAATTTCAAAAATAGGACAGCACCCAGTGGCACAGGTCTGAGTGACAGGACAAGTGTTGAGCTGGACCCTCCCCTCCCTCATTTGGGGCAGGCATTCCTCTGTGTAAGCAGACACAGACCCCCTCCCATCATATTTCTCTCTCCTTCTCCCACTCTTTTTCCTTTGGCGATGGTAGTTGGCTCACAGGGAGTATGGGTGGGCACACAGAAGTGTGTGTGTGTGTGCGTGTGTGTGCTTGCATGTTTGTGTGTTCAGGTGTGAGTGCGAGCTCAGAGGGAAGTCAGCACCCGGACAGTGTGCTAGGCGAGAGCAGGCCAGAGCTCTCCGATGGGGCCCTGACTAGGGCCAAAGCACTGAGGGGGGGTCCTCAGATGAATGATTAAAAACCTTAGAAGAAAAGAAAATAACTACAAAAAAGAAGAAAAGATAAAAAAGAAGATCCAGAGAGAAGAACAATGGTTGTAGAGGAAGTGATAATTACATTGTCTGGTGGAGCGCCATGGGGGTTTCGTCTCCAGGGAGGCGTGGAACACCAGAAACCACTCCAGGTAGCGAAGGTAAGGCGAGTCACTCAGCATGTTGGACAGAAGCCAGCATTTCACAGTTTGCTAAGACAACAGTGAAAAGAACAAAAAGGTGTTAAAGTCGATAGCGTCACCAAGCAGAAGGGAAACAGCAACAGAGTTGTATTGTGTAAAGCTGTGAACAAAGCTTAAAGGAACATTGGCAGTGTTCAATGTTGGTTTGGGGCCTGAATGTGAGTCATCATCTTGTTCGAGAACTTTTTTTATGTAGAGTTGTACTGATGATTGATTGGGTGATTGAACTTTAAACTTCAAGTACAGATAGGTGGGAATGCTAGGCCACCCTGTTGCATATCTTCCTCTGACTGCTTTGCCTGTTAAGCTCAGCATTAAAGCAAATGATAGTAACCCAGAAATCAAGTAACATTTGCAGAAAATATTTTTTTCTGTTGCTGGCCACAGTGCGCCCTACACCTCTGAACAACATCATAATTTCATTCAAGAAACGCTTCAATTAACCTGGCCACACCCGGTAATCTTGAAGGATCCATTCAGTTGGTTTTTTATCGTAAAGTAAAATTACAAGAGTGAAAAACATACAAGTAAGCAAAATGTAGTGACCTCAGGTTATTTCTTGAAATCAGTGTGGTGTAGGCCATATTAAATCCACAATGATATTTATAATGTTAAAAAAAATCTTTATTACATTTTGGAGAATTGCAGACTAGTTAAATATTCATATTTCCTTGAGTCCACTGAAGGTAAAGGAAATATTTAACCTTCGAATTCTCACATGGAGTCACTCAGCTCATTTTACTCTCCAAAAGCAAATTCTTCATGGGCAATAATTTCGTACCAACACTTGGCAGAAATGAAGCAGTCCAAATTTCAGTCTTGATCTCCATTTAGGATTTCAGAATGTGGCATGATATGAGATGGGGAACACACTGGATAAAATGATTAATTTGGCATCCAAGTATATAAAAAATAGCACCTCTGATATAAGCTTCTCTTTTTATTTTCTGACTTAATATGTACATTTACTTGTATTGAACACATTATAGAACACATTATATTGAACACACTTTATGAATGTATATTAGCATAATATGAAAAATAGATTCATCCACACATACTTTCCATAATTGTTGACTGCGCAGAAGTACTTTTGAAGGTGGCTATTTATAGCTGAGAAGCATCAGGTCTCTAGGTCAGCCAAGGTGTATGTTTCAGCTCAGTATTTAAAAATTAGCCTCATACACTATTTCTGAACATGCACTAATCGTCTTGATGCTAATCGTCACTTCCTTGTAGGTTCACATCAAAAAGAATTACTAATCGTTTGACATCTGTTACTCCGAATTGTTGCTGTTCTGACATCACATATGGCGTGGTGTTAATTCAAATGAAGCTCCCCCCCGTCTTTTTTTAAAAATGATCTCCATATTACAAAATACAGGAATCTATCTGCTTGGCACAGTAGGTCAGGGAAATTGTATTATATCCTGCTTTTTCACAGGATATAATTTTAAATGTTAGTATAGCCAGTTCTTCTGTGCAATGAATCCTTATTTGTATAATGCTCTGATATATACCTGTACTGTAACTCATTATCTTCCACAGTTGAGTTCATATATAATATTTGCACTGGCAAAATAATTATCCTTTGGAAAATGTTACTGGCTTAGATTGTCTAAGTAGACTTTTAATATTTTTTTCATGAGTGATTCTACGTTGTTGAGTTATGAAGAGTAATATGTAGACAAGCTGGCCTCGGGACACCAAGTCACCTTTACGAAGGTGGACAGCTGGTTCTGTCTGATCATCTAAAACAATGTGCTCCTTCGCCCCTGAGAGGAGGAAGCTGTAATCTTGTCAGGTCTCACACTATATCATCCCAAACAGGTGGAGCAGTGTGTGGCTGCACTGAAAAGAGCTGGTGTGTCAGTCCTGGGTCTGTGCCGTTGAGACAGCATGTGCATGCTTCTATGTTTATTTATATGACTTTAAGTGTATTTTTGTACTTCCCCATGTGGTGAATGTGTGCACGCATGTAAGGCTATTATAACTGTTATGATTTGTGGCCACAAAGTGACTGCGTGAATGAATAACAGACATCCTCTGCCACAAGTAAGCACGGACCATTTTAAAAGGCTTAGCTAAATGGGGACATGGGATTTAATTACAGACAAACTAGAATAGCTGGAAAGAAAACTAGTTAAGGTAACCAAAGCAATGCTTCTCCATCTACTAATTCTAATATTAAAAATTTCTTTCATATATGCCTTCGTAGAGCGTAATCAAAACTGCACTGTTAGCTTAAAAAAATAAGAACATCTTCAGGCCTCTGTTTTAGATTTACTATGTGACATGTCGACATAGCTTGCACAGACCTGAGGCAGTTTAGAGTGGGCAAAACGCCACGGTCCTGACAGACCTTGGGCACAAATAGCAAAGCACCAAATGAAGATGGCTTCTGGCTGGCATTTCCTTGTTAAAGTGTGTATGAGAGCTCCACTTGAGCTAATATGTGGCATATGTCTGCAGCACGATCGAGCTGTCAGTGCAAAATCTGGTCTCTGTCTTTGTCAGTCATTATCACAAACCAATCCAAGACAGCAGCATAGCTCTGTTGTTTTTTTAAATTTTCTAATCAAAAGCGTTACAAAAGCTGGTCTTTCTCTGATCATTCTCTGGGAAAATATTATCACAACTCTGTACTATACAACTTGTACAGCCCTTCAAAGTAAGGTGGCAGGGCTGAGACTTGGCCTCAAGTTATGTTTAGTTTGATAAAATCCTGGAACAATAAAAAGTAAATATGACTTCATTCAGCAGGATATGAACAGTTGCACACTCTAAATATTTAAAAGCTATTTCACAGTAAAGGTATTTTGTTTTGGTAGCATGTAATCGCTATTAATTTAAAACAGAGAAAGGAAGTTTACTTCCTTTTACTAAGGAAGGTTTACTGAGGAAGTCTATTCTCATTCTTTTATTATTAAAAACGTCTGCTTGCAAGGCCTTTATACCTGATTTAAGACATCAAATGTTATTGTACATGTACAATGACCATAAGGGGCTATTCTATTCTATTCTATTCTATTCTATTCTAAATAGTCCTGGATGTCTCTTCTTGTAGGTTATCAGGGACTTGTACCAAATGACTGAAACAATATTTCTTCATACAACGAGTCAGAAACTCAGATTTTCAGTTATTTTTAGTATTTCACCTTTTAACTTGTTTTGCCTATATGCAGGTGCGCAAACGCAGCAAGGCATGCAGGGCTGGGCTGCGGGAGGCTGATGAGCTGGTCTCCATCAATGAGCAGCCATGTGCAACGCTCTCCCATGCCCAGGCCATGAACCTCATCGACAGTTCCCCTGGGATATTACACATCCGGGTCAAAAGGTCAGAAGAACAAGAGAAAGTAAACTCTTCCTAATCTTAAAGCATCAGCAGCTCATTGTAATGGATAAAGAAAAGTGTAAAATGCACTGACTTGATACTTGCTGCCCTGCATTTAAAATTAATTAAAAAACAAGAAGACAACGTATACTAAATGTAAAAAATTAAGTTATGATATCACATTCAAAGGTACTCATTGACATTAATACTATTTTAACCTTTGCACTTGTTTTCAGGGCACCTGCTGGTTTTCAGTCTGTGGTGCTTGTGACCCGAGCTCCATCTCCCCGAATAGACAAAGAGTACCGTGCTGCTCTGCGAGCTATGTCACCAAATCACCCTCACCATGCACCTGTCCGTGAAGTCCATCGTAGCCGCTCCACCCTAACCAGCGGCTTGACATCGCCACCTGGGAGCGAGGCTTACTATGGCGAGACTGATAGTGATGCAGATGTGGCAGGCTACGAGAGACAACGCAGGCAGAAACGCCGAAGCCCCAGCAACTCCAACCCTGGGAAACCCACAGGACGAACCTCTCCTGAGGGTGGGGAGACATCAGAAATGAGTGGCTATGACAGCGCTCCAGATGCACATGTTTACCCCCGTTTATTGGATGGTGGCGAGGGAAATGGAGGAGGAGGTCTGCCAGGGGTGGCTAGAAGGGAAGTGATTTACCAACCTCCTGGTCCCGGAATGTGGTCTTCCCAGACATCGACAGAGACTTCCTCTATCATATCCTCAGCAGATGACCAAGGGCCACGGGATGCAGGGCAAGAGGAGGATAGTGGCTTTTTAGAGCCTGCCAATGTGCCACTGGTATCTCCTGAGAGGGCAAAGGAGGCTCTGATGCTTGGCTCCCGTAACCAGCTCGTGCCCATGGTGGGGCCTGTAAATAAACCCATCGATGATGAGCTTACAACAACCTACATGGAAAAGGCCAAGCAAGCCAGTAAGTACACCTGGAGAAGGCCACTGTGATCCACTTGTGCCTCACATGTAAAAGTTAAATAAATATCCTATTATGATTTGGGGGGAGTTTATGATTATGATACAAATGATCCAAAAATTAAAAATCAAACAAATATGCTCATCTATCGCCTTACCTTTTTCTAAACAGTGCGTCAAAAGAGGTCCATTGTTGATTTAACACAGCGCTTTAGGGAGCTAAAACAGATCAGTTTTTGAACTACATTATTTATCTATATATGGTACCTGTTTATAATCATCCTGGAGTCACCAGCCGAGTTTTAAAACTGGTCATTAGCTATTTATATCCATTGATACTCTGGAAACATCACTGATACCAAAGTTAATTGTACCAGTACTGTTGGAATAGTGTGATATGAAGCTTAATCAAGCTTAATCAAAAAGACTAACGTGTCCAGTGTGATTTGTTTAATATGACAATTAGCAAAACTAGCCACACATAAGTGTTTTTTGAGGTTTGTAGCTCAAAGTGGGTGGGTGTCAAATCTGTTAAACAGGGCATAGTCATATGGTTTACCGTATTTTCCTCCAGTTATGTAAAACCCCCAGCAATCAATCTAGGAGCCCAGAAAACCAGCAGCAACTGCTTTTTGATATCAGCTGGCAAACTGAGGATAATACCTCTTGCTGCTCTCATTCCCTTTACTCTTTTCTTACTTTTTCTTTCTTACTGTATATTGAAAGAACAACAATAATATGTGATCTGTTCTGCAATACTCAATATGATGTACTTTGGTTCTTATTAAAATTGCAAATGCATTTTATGCTTTTCAAAATGCATCAATTAAAATGATGTGCTTACATTAACCTTGACTTAATAGTTTCACAATCTTTGAAGAAAGGTAAAAAAAAAATGCGATAGTGATGAAAGCACAGAAAATGACTAAGCATTCTTTCCTAAAATTTGTCATTCTGTCTATCATCCTTAATTGATTCTTGGAATTCCTCCTTGCCATCACTGACATTCTAATGTCCTACTTAAGAACCATGTCCTAAACAAATTAAAATTCCGCTTCATGTGGCATTTATACCAGGGTAATAGAATTAGATTGCCTATGATAATCTGTTTAATACCATAACAAGTTAAAGGATATGTTATGTATGCCTTTTGAAGTTCTCCTTCCAGGCACCTATGACATCAAAGTTTCCTTTAGCCTGCAAATACTTTCAGTAAAGTTAGATGTCAGAGTACATGACCCTAGCAATGTGCAAATTTATCCTTCACCTTAGCTAATGTGATAAGCTCAAAGCTTCTGTGGAATTTTCCTGGAAGTGCTGCTGTGGCAAGTTAAGAGATGGATGCCTGTTGGACAGGCAGACAGGACAGGTTTAGAAGCTTATGTCAGAGTTCATTCTTTCAAAGGCTAAATCTTTTCCTTTTGAAATTCTGAACCTAAGATTTACTTTACATTATGCCACTGCATAACAACTTCTAATAGTTTTGACTTTCATATCCTGCAGAACTGAACAGAGGGGATACACAGCAAGACAAACAAGTAAAGGAAGCCAAAAGCAAGTGTAGAACAATCGCCTCTCTTCTGACAGATGCTCCTAATCCTCACTCAAAAGGTGTGCTAATGTTCAAGAAGAGAAGGCAGCGCTCCAAGAAGTACACACTCACTAGCTTTGGCAGTGTTGATGAGGACAGGTGTCAGGACTCACAAGAGGAGGATGGGGTACTTCCTGGCAGTGAATCTGAGTTTGATGAGGAAGGTTTTTCATCAGTTCCTGACCCGACTTGGGACAGTGACTATCTGGATATGCTGGAAAAGAGGGCAACAGCAGGTACTGAAGGTCGTGGGGATGGGGCAGAGGATGCTCCGAGTCCAGGTTTGAGTGACACTGTGGGCAAGGGTGCCCAGTTATTTGAGCAACAGAGAAAAAGGGTTGCTGAGCATGCCAAGAAGGCAGAAGCAGCAAAACCTCAAGTACCTCCACAATCCCAAGTCCATGAGGAACCTCAGATACTCCAGATGTTTCAGTCACAACAAGAAGTAGAGCCACAAGTAGAAATGAACTTACAACCTCAGCACATAACACTACCTGGAACTATATCCACACAACCAATCCTATCACAAGCCCCAGGTCCAGTTCCTGTTGCATCCCGTGGAATGACTAATGGAGACCTAATCTACTCTGCAGTCAGCACAGCTAGCATGGAGGAGTCATCTCCACCAGTGGCACCCAAACCAGCTACTGCCTCAGTTACCATTCTGACCAGTCCTGGTCAACCAGCCGAAACACCATTGCCAGAACTACCTGTGAGTAATGTTCTCAACAGGACAGCACGTCCTTTTACCCCTGGCTTTATCAGCATTCGGGCTGCAACTGCCCCTGTGACGTTCCGGCCACCTGTCACAAAGACAACCCAGCGTCCTGCCTCAACAGCTGTTGTGCCGCCACCATTTTCCACTACATATGAACTAGACATTAACAATACAGCAGGAACTTCACAGCTATCCCCTGGTACTTCATCAGTGATCTTGCCACAAACTTCCATACTTCAAAGTTCCTTGGTCTCAAAGCCAGAAGCTCCTGTTACCTATCACCCTCCATCCCTTTCTACTTGTGTGCAGTCAACACCACCAATTACTACTGCTCAGCAGGCTCCATTTCCAATTGTGACTCCAGCCTCTATTCCATCAGTACCACCAGCACCACATGTACCAGTGATTCTAGCCCCTGGTCCACCTACATCCCAAATTCCTGTGTCAGCTGACCAAGTTATCCCAGTGTCTCCACTTCAAACACCAGTTGCTCAGCTACCACTGCAATCTTCAATTGCACCTTTTTCTCAAGTGTCAGTGGTCTCCCAGTCTGAAACTGTAGCACCAACCCCAGTTCCTGGTTCAACAGGTCGCACAGGAATCTTGCTTGAGGCTCGAAGGCGTAGTGGGAAACTCAAACCAATGTTCAATGTGCCAGATGTTAAAAAGAAATCTCCCAATCCTGAACTGTTGTCTATGGTGCAGAATCTGGATGACAGATCCAGCCGACACAACTATGGCCAACCACCCGACGAGAATATCTATGATGATTCTGAGGAAATTAGAAGTGATGAGGCTGGCATAGGAAAGGTGCCTCCTCCAGTGGCACCCAAGCCACGAGTTGTTCACGAAGCTCCACAGATTCTCCAAGCAGGAGGTAAGGGGGCCCAACTGTTTGCCAAAAGGCAGAGCCGTATGGGTATGTATGTAGTGGACACTCCACCCGAGACTACTTACCAGAAGGAAGGGACAATGCACAGTGCAGCACAACCCCTTGGTTCCTCCCTCAATCCTTCACTTCCTTCTCAATGGAAATACTCCCCAAATGTCCGTGCACCGCCCCCAATTGGGTACAACCCACTTTTGGCCCCATCTATCCCTACTGGGCCTCAGAGAGAAACCAACAAGCCAGACAACAGGGGTAGAGGGAGCTCTCCAAGAGAGGGCATCAAAGCACTAGATTTCATGAGAAGGCAACCCTATCAGCTCAATTCTGCCATGTTTAACTATGGGGGCAGTGCTATTAATCTAGCAGCTATGCCTTCTTACCAAGCCCAGCAGCGTGACTACATACCACCAATGGTGGGAAGCTCCTTGACTTCACCAAGGCAGATCCCCGTCAAAACAGCCCGTGTCTATGAGGTCAAGCGATTCTCCACACCTACACCTATGTCTGGTCCATCTCTCGCTCCTAAAGTCCTCGCACCACGCTCAGCCACTTGCCTTGGAGAACGTTTGACTCACTCTGGCATGACCTCCCCACCTCCTGAAACCTTCACTCCAACTCCAGTCTCTGCCTTGACAACAGCACCAGACAGTATACCAACCCCAGCTGCACCTCTGTCCCAACCAACTGGACCACCCAACCTTCCAAAATTTTCTGCCACTCCCATTCCAAACCCAGTGCCCCCTGCAGTCCCAACACCTTATGCTCCAGTGTCATATACCACTGGGCTCCAGTCAGCCAAACAGTTTCAGAGTGCTCCTGAGCTCAGCATCCTTGCCTCTCTGCCTCCACTCAAGTCCAACCCAGTACAGGCACCTAAACCACGATTTGTGGCCACCAAGGGAGGTGTTCAGCCCCGTGTCTGGAGGCCAGGGGCAATCTGAGGGCAATGAAGCAGTCAGTACCGTGCTTGGACATCTTCATATTCATGAAAAGGCTAATTAATCATGGACAGAAATATATCTGACAATTTTGTTAATTGGTTGATAGAAAAAACATGGAGTTAAAGATGTTTTATGCTTTGGGAAACTGATGGGCAAAGATCAGGACTCATCTGCAAAAATTAGCTGATGAAGTAACATAAAATGGCAATTGAGTATGAAATTGAAATATAAAAAACAGGTGAGTTAAGTTAAATGAGAACAAAATATATATATATTTTTTTGCTCAAAATGCTGCTTATCACATTTATTTTGCTACTAACAGATTAAATGAGTCACACTAGTTTTAAACGATATTGCCATACACTGTATAGCCCACCATATGCCTGTCCTGGGGGAGGTTTGTGTAAGGCTTCTGGAGATCTCTTCTACTAATTTAGCGGAAAACCCATCTAAACAGAGCCTGTACTGAATTATTCTTTGAAACTTGAAATGTCTGAAAAGTGAACCATGAATGAACGAATGCCATTATGAGCAAAGCTCAAACCACTAAAAATATATGTTGTGTGATGTAGACTGGAGTAGGTGGATCTTATAACATGTAATTCACAGTACTCGCCCTATTCAGTCATGTACACTCTTTTTTTTTCTGGGTGTTTAAATGATGCTGTTTTTTAAACACCTCAGCTCACTAGAGTCTATAAGTGAAGGCAAGGTTTGCTCTTGCAACGAGTCAGATACCTCCACTCACTATAACTAGAGAGAAATGCTATCTTTTTAGCCCATGTCACATACAACAAGTGCCTGGGCTGTCACTGAATGAACACTTGTTACTGGATATCACTGCTTCTATTTACTACCTAGACACACCAGAGTCTCCTTAGAATCAGCGTGCACTTTGCAACTATATGTAAATTCGTAACTTTTATTAAACAAATAACACAGATGAAGAAATGTGTATTTTGTTTTGTAAAGTTGTAATTTATTCAGAGGGAATGCATGGGGAAGTAGATAGACAGAGAAGCACTGGCCCTTCTGAAAGGGTTTATGAAAAGAGAGCGGCTGTGGAACGAGGACATATTTAGGAGTAATGGGGTCACAGTTCTGGTGTTGCCATTTCACTGAAGTGGTCACAATCAAAGTCAGACTTCTGTCTGTTGGTTTGATACCTCACAGCCTCTAGAAATTAAATTAGAATGACCAGGAAAGTTTGAGCCATGAAGTTTGTTGGACAGAAGCACAGAGGTTTAGCTGTTGTGTTCTAAATAACAATGGGTGCTGTTAAAAAGTAAGGAGAAATATGTTTGATGAATATGTGCTTCCAAAGACTGAATATGCTAAAGGAACGAGTAAGAAACACAGAAAGACTGTTGTGTTATATTTGTGGTACTCTTGGTTGATTTTTTTTTTTTGATTTTTTACCCTTTTTAAAATACAGTTTCTCTTCAAGTTTGTTCTTGTTTTCATTATGTCATTAGAAAACTAGATCTTAGATATAGATATGCTGAGGTGTACAGTGTGAGTTCCTGAAAGTACATGGATTAAATAATGAGTGTGAAAAATGTTTGTTATTAATGCTGAGTAGAAGTTTATACTGACAGATGACAAGGTATTTTTAGAGGAATAAAATTAGACTTCAAGGCTCTCCAGCTGTCTGACATGTCTGATTTTATAGTGCCCTCTGTTGGTTAGTCTTTTAATGTATGACAAAAAGCATGCAAAAATGCAACTTGTAACTGAACAATGAAGTAAATGTAACTGTATAGTAGTTTAAACATTAAAAAAGGATTAAAAGATAAAAATAATTACCAGTGCAGAGTTTTTTTTTAAACTTCAGACTAATTTTATAAATTTTGTAGCTCGTTAATAAAAATAGTAACTCAGATAATATAATAGAATATGAATTATATTTTCACATAAGGAACCTATTGGGTCATTTTATGAAAAAAATCAGTAACTGTGTCTAGCTTGATTAGAATCAGCTCATTTTTGTTTGTACAACAACTTTATCACATTTAATAAAGCCATGAAAAATTCTACCTTCAATTAATATTTTGTGAGTTCTTAAAGTATAGATAAAGATCAAAATTCTAACATTGGAGCTAGCCACATTAAATTTTCAGGGCTGGAAAATACATTTAAGTATTGTTAAAATTTGTAGGTAGATCAAATGCACAACCACACCAAATGTCACAATTTAAAGCCAAAGTGTAATTTCTTTCCTTTTTTCTATAAACAGCTCTGAGGATCTATATTATGGGATATATCCTAGAGTAGCAAAACTCCATCAATTTAATGTGACAGACTAACAGACATGAGCATTGAAACCTTGGATGTTTCATCCTATATTTCACAGGAGGAAAGTTCAAAAACTACAGTATGGGGTAAATTTTTAAGTATCATATCATCATATTGGAGAGATACCTGGTCAGTACAATTTATAGCATACACAATGTCCTTTTTTGTATTTTCTAATGTTTTTTTTCTCATTTTAAACACAAATGTTGAAGCGGTTGTTTGAGATTGAGTTAGCTTCTTTTTGACATATTTCTTAGTGCTAAATTGTAAAGGTTCAGTGTTCATTAGTTCTGCAGTTCCAAGAGTCATCTTTTTTACTAATCTTTGTCTTACTTTCTTACTTTTCAGTAAAGACTGTAGGAGTGAGCTAAATCTGGACAATGGGCGGGGGTGGTTTGGTGTATAAAAAAAATATATACTATTTTCACTTTTTTTCTGTTAGTAAGATTAAAAATTAATACTAGAAAAGTGCATTATTGTTGGAAACTTGTTGTTTAATGCCATCTATTCATTTCCCAACACACAGAATGTGTGATTCTATATCTTGAACTAAAAATGTATATTCATGTATAAATTTTGACCATAATGTAATGTAATAATGTTATATGGTTGTAATGTGTGTCAGTGTATTTTTCTTTCTTTCTTTTTTTTTTTTTTTGCCTACATGAACACTTGCCACTAAGTGGTGCTGTGGGGCATCAGTGTACACTGACAGTGCATTAAAAATGGCCAAGCCCCACACTCACATGGGAGGCTATATATAGAGCTGTTAATATCCAAACATAATACTCTTTATTTATAAAGAAAATGAATTGTTGCCAGGTCCCTACTGTAATTAAGAGTTGCTTCTTAATTTACCTACTTAAAAAAAGATGCATTAAAAAAGGGGCCTATGGAAAGTTTCTATTTCAAGATGTGCAGAAAGCATCCCGTGGAGTGTTTTCCATGGGATGTACTAGAAATAAAACATCTGCAGCATATCTTAGTGCTTTCCATTTAATACTTAGTTGAATTGTCATTTGAATTGATCAGAAAAGGGACATGGATATTTCTACATTTCATATGAAATAATGAAATGTATGCAGAGGTATGTATAAAAATAAAACACAAATTTTAAACAGTGTCACCATTGTTATTTAAATATAAGACCTCAGTTGGTTCGAAGAAAGACTGAAAACATGTCACTTGTTACAAGCACTTCTCTGCAGTGATCATTTTGATAAAAATAGATAATTTTCTTTAGATTTCGGAGGCCAGAGATGAGCCAAAAATTTATGAGAAATCAAGACTTTATGAAGAAGAGCCTGAACAACCTTTTTGAAATAAAGCTGACCTGGGTAATATTTAAGGAAGTTAACCCTAAGAGATAAAGGAAACTAACAATATTGGACATTTGTATTGATGTCAAAAACCCAATGTCTAATGGCTTTCCTACATTTCAGAATTGTGCATCATAAAATATCTTAGACTATATAAAGTAAAATAAGATACATCTTACTTGGAATTGAAGTTTAACTTAAGAACAATGTTGCACATAGCATATAGATCAATTGTACTTGAATACATTCAAACATCCAAACAGAGCCACAAAGTTACCAGTTGCATTTTCTACTTTGATTGTGTGCTCAAGAACACTAGAACAATACAAAGTTAACTGATTTTCAGAGAAAGTTACTGCAGATTTAGTTAGTGCTTCAGAGTCAAAGTTTTCTAGATCAAATTAAGCACATAAAATCTGACATTCACTCAGGACCCCTGGGATTATTTTGCCAACTAACAATCATGTTTTTATAAATGTATATGAATTGTAACAGTAATATTTAAAAATGACACATTCATATTGTGTCAATTTGTACATATGATACCTCTATATACCTGTAGATTTACCTTTTTAAAATTTGCACAAAAAAGAAAAAATACACACTAAGGAGAGTTATAGAGTTACATACATGTTTATACAGTCATATGAAAAAGAAAGGTATCACAGGACTGTATAGTCCTGTGAAAAATTAAGTACTCTTTTACTGCTAGCATAGGAATTAAGGGGTAAGTAGCAGCCAGGTGCTAATAATCAAACACTCATTAGGCTTCAATCCAGCAAAACAGTTTGCTGGATTGAAGCATTCAGTTGCGTTGGCACAATGTCACAAGCTTCCCAGTCGTGGATATCCCAGCAAATTTAATTCCAAGGTCAAACCATGCAATGCTCAGAGATATTACAGGGATTTGGGTTTGTTTTTTCAGCCACAAGATCTAGACACCTTGCAATTACAGACTCCACCACCTCTTTTTACAAAAGTATTCTATAGTCAGATGTGAGGCCATCTGCCTGGCAGTTCAAGCATGTCATGAGACAGGACAAGCACAGCAGCAAATCTACTATGGAAAAGCTGAAAAACAAAAGAAAAGAATGCTGAAATGACCCAGTCAAAGGCCAAACCTCAACCCAACTGAAATACTATGGTGAGATCTTGAGAGAGCTGTGCATAAATGAATGCCCACAAACCTCAATGAACTGAAGCAGTGTTGTAAAGAAGAGTGGACCAAAATTCTTCCACAACAATGTAAGAGACTAATAAAGTTACATAGAAAAAAATTGCTTTAAAGTTATTGGTGCTAAATGTGGTTCTACAAACTACTGAATGTACTTAGTTTTTCACAGGATTACATAGACCCCTGTAAAAACTTTATTTTTCACATGATCATATGCCTGTATTGCATGCTATTATTATCACTATAATAATGTAGAAAAAATCTAATAATGTTAGATCCTCGCCTAAAGGATAACTCTGTTGTAATGACAATGTAAGTACATATATTTACTGAAGACTTTTTAAGCCCTGTGAAAAGTTGTGATGTCAAAGGCAGGTTGTGTTTTTGCACACAAGAAAGCAAAAATTTGTGTTTTCTTTAAAATGGAACATATATAGTTACCAGTAAGGATACTAATGACATATCTTTGGTAGTTTCGGGGTTTGCACTCCACCACATTCAGATGGTTTGCACAAAATATTTTAAATATCTGTCACCTCATTGTCTGCATGTCCATCACATTTAGTAGTTCAGTAGTTTGTAGAAACTGAAAAGTCTTTCTGTGTACCCTAAACACACCCCAGAGTCCTTTGAGGTTATATTATAGTTGGGTTCTGTCCCCCTCACTCTTTGCTACTAAATATAGGCTTCTGAGCCATCTGTGAGAATGATTTTGTTCCCTTAATATCACCATCAGCAGTTTCAGCTGGCCAACAGAGACTTCTCCCCTGACTTTAATGCCCCCCTGCCCCCTCCTCAATCCCTATTCATACACCCAACCTCAACCTCCTCCTTCCGTCTTGATACGAACACCAACAGCCCCAACCCCCTGAAAGAGCTGCCATCTGAGTGTTGGTTGGGTTTTGCACTTCCCGGGACCTGGGTCCAGGCGAACGTAGGGTCAGAGGCACTGAGGGATTTGTAAACTTGTGATCGAGATCACCAACATTGGTCCCTTGGTCTCCTCTTCACTGTTTGGTATTTATAGGTCTGTCTTTCTTGCCAGGACAACAACAAAAACTCGGTGAGTGGATCTACACCCCACAAATCACTGTGTCTATTTGTTCTACCAATTAACTGACAGCTGATAACTGGGAGGATTTCAGTTTTGCATAGTGCAAAAGCCGTGAGAGGGATTTAACATGCAATGTGGTCCCACTCATATTTCTGCAGCTGATCTTAAGGAGAAACTAATGCAAGACCTCAAAAGTTCAATAAATGAAAATGATCAGTTTGCAGTTTAATTTTATGACAAATAATTAATTGCAGATGCACCATAGCTATAAAAGTTCCTTTGCAGTTTTGAAAATTATCAAAGGAGTGGTTAAATGTGCTGATCATCTCACTCGGTGGGTGTTGCATATGTTTTATATGGCGCTGCCAAACCCTGAGAGGGGTTGGTAAATCTGAGAACAGACTTGTCTGAGCCTTTAATTATTTAAGGGAATTAAAAGACAGTGTTGAAAATCCTCCTTGTTAACATCCATTAACTAAACCAGTTTGTACACCTGTTTTGAGAGATGGCCAAATATATAGTCAGAATTGTTTTGGTGGAGATGTGTTCTTAAGGGTTATGTTGAGCCCATTTGATAGCCGAATGACGCCATTCCATGTCGCTAAAATGTCTTGGCTGGAAATGGCTTTTAAAAATAGCTTCAGTGGGTTGAGTTACAGCCAGTAGATGTGATGTGATGTTTTGCCACTTGATTGGGCCTTAAAGAAACTGGTGAGAGCTGAAAGTGTTGATATCTGTTCAGAAAGACAAGAAACTATGTAACGCACGCATATAATTACATGTAAACCAGATGCACGTCTTTCACAATGGATAGCTTGGCCTATGAGATAGAGGGAAGTTTTCCCACCTTTACGTTTCCATGCAAGAGACTGTGATAAAATATTATGAATAATTCCATCATTTTTAATAAGCCCGAGGCTTCTGTCTCAACCACAACATGGTTCTGTTTACATTGGCACAGACTGTGTACAGATCTTGTGTTTCCAAACAAAACTGAAACACATATTGAGCTATACGTTTCCTTCAAGGCAGACATCTGTTTCACTAGAGAATGTAAGAAATCTGAGGGCACTGACATCCTGTTTGAACTTGAAAAATGAGGAGGGCCCTTGCTGTCAGTCTGTCTGATACATTCAGGTCCCGGGGATTCACTTTCAGGCGTGGTGGTAAAGTGTTGATGGTTGAGAGTTATTTTGTGACTATGGTGCAAATCAACGGTAACATTGAAGCAACAACACCCCTTTCAGTGCAATTAAAGCTTTACAGTCAAATTATGATTTATGAATTCCTTTGAATATGGATGTGTAGTGTGAAATAGAAAACTACAACTGAAGGTATCAATTACTTTCTCTTATTTGGTTTCTTTTTTTAAATTTTTTAAAATTTATGTTTTTTTCATACTAAACCTCCTAAAGTTTTCTATGTTATTTATCTAGACTTAATCCCTTTAAGGAGCTTTTTTTTCTGGAGAAGTTTTGATATTACTTAACATTAATTAACTTTTGAGTCTTGAACATAAGGGTTTCATTGCTTAAGTATGTGTTCAGGTTAATATCATCACTTGTTCTACATTTTTCTAACCAAAGGTAATGTTCTGTGTTCTCCCCTGGCCCTCAAGTCATGCCTCTGGGTACACCTGCTCCCCTAACCAAGCGGAAAAAGCCCTCCAAGATCATAACTGACCTATCACATATCCCTCAGGATGGTAAGGCTTACATAAAATGACGTGACTATGAAACCAAACTACCACTGCTCAGTAGAGCTCTTTCATATAAACACAGTACACAGAAATACACGGTGGTAAAACAAAAAAGGGGTACAAATATTAGAGAACTAGTTGCTTATTTGCAGTACAATTAAGTCAATCTACTTTACTAATAAAGGATACCATTCTTTAATGAAACAATGTTTATGAGTTAGTACTACTTTCAACCTCATTTACCAATGTCAGGGCCATTGTTTGGCTCTCACTTATGTAGAATATGAGTCAGAGCCAGAGGCATCGGAGTTTGACCTGGGAACAAAGATCAGAACTCCTAAAGACATCATGCTGGAGGAGCTTTCCCTGCTGAAGAACCGAGGATCCAAGATGTTCAAGATGAGACAGCAGAGAGTGGAGAGATTCATCTATGAGAACAACCCTGACATCTTCAGTAGTGAGTCCATGGTGAGAGCCTAGTTCATAAACAAAACAAAGTCTTGTTTGTCACTGCAATGGAAATTTATTGACACTAGGTTGATAATCGAAGCAAATTTGAGACAAAGAAATCTTGAAATAGCTTTGAATCACATGCAGAAAGGTAACACCTGAAGAACTGTATCCTTACCTTTACAATTTTGCTTTGGTTGATATAAATATTTGAAAGAAACCTAGTACCAGCATGCAGATGGTGATTATTTAAATGTAAAGTCACCTGGGCTTTAATTATAATCATACTGATCAATTTTAACAGTGATATAAGAGGGTTTTTTTGGTGTTGAAGCAGATAAAGATGTATGATGTGTATGATTGATTATAATGGCGATACTTTGCTCTATATGGGGTGGCTGAAGCTCTGGAGGTAGAGCAGGTCATATGCTAATCGCAAGGTTGGTGGTTTGATCCCTGGCTGCTCCCACTTTGCATACCAAATATCCTTGAGCAGAACACCAACCCCAAGCTGCATGAATGTGTGTGAATGTTAGATAGATAGCATTTATGCATAGAAAAAATGGTTGTGTGAATGAGGCAAGTTGTATAAACAGCTTTGAGTGCTCAGGTACAGTAGAAAAGTGCTATATAACAACCAGTCCATTTACCCTTTCTTTCAGGACAACCTGCAGAAGTTTGTTCCCTCCCTGGGCGGTCAAGTGGGAGGTCAAATAATAAACCTCGGTGGGCATTTTGTTAGCAAGGATTCTGGACGCCTGAATTTTGTAGGGCTACAAACAGGAGGAGGGGCCCCTCTGCCTCCCCCAAAGCCTGGAAGCAAAGGAGCAGGAGGAACGGGAGGTGCAGGTGGAGCAGGAAGTGCAGGAGGAGTTGGTGTGGGCGAGAAAGGTGGAAAAGGAGAAGGTAGTAGTGAGTGGTCTCCACTAAAAGGTTTGTCTAATTTGTTTTTCTTTTGGCCATTTGTAGTGCAATTCTGTTTTATGTACAGAAGGCAATTTTCCAAAAATTATTTAAAATGCATTAACAAAGTGTGTTTACATCTTGAGAAATACATCTAGAAGGACAACGTTATAAATTAATAAAAAATAACAGTGTACACAATATATATATTTGTTTTATTTTTTTTTTTTTTTTTTTTTTTTAAACCAAATTACATATATCTATTATACACTGAACTATTCAAAAATGTGTTGAATATTTGTATTTGCTTTCTTTCTAAAAGTACTAAAACCACCATGACCAGCTGGTTAGTTAGCTAAGCTTGGCTTAAAGTCTGGAGAAAACTGATAATGAGCAACTGTAAACCTCATTATTTGCTATGAGGTACTTTGTGCGTTTAATCTATACACAAGCCATAGTGCAAAAAACCCAAACAGGTTCCAATATGAGGTTATCAAGAAAGCACTGCAGGAAGTCGCAGTTTCTGGCACATTGCAGTTCAACAATAGCCTAGGGCCAGTTAAAAAACTATGTTGGACAAGTTGAATGGCCAGCTGCTGGTCTTTTTGGGCTAGTAATGGTTTTTCATTGAATGGATTCACCTTTGAAGCAAACAGTCAGTATTCTTATATTAAAATACAAATAAATATCCTTTATTGAACCACCAGTTCTGGTAGTTTTATAAGTGAAAAAAATTAGATCTTTTTAGCTGCTCCTACCCCTCACATTGTTGCATAAATCATTGCACAACTAAATTTAGAAAAAGCTCAAATAAAAGCTGTCTGTCTGCAGATAAATTGTGCTAGTTTATTTTGCCACAATCTTTCAATTTCTAGCAGCAATACCTGCATAAGAGGGGCATTTCAATCATGCCACAACCTTTATTTTTAAGTTTTAGTTACCAGCACATGTGGATGACTTTCTTTACAGGAGGTGGAAAACATGACGGTACTAAGCAGCGAATTCATGTGAAAACCTACGTGTCTCCATGGGAGAAGGCTATGAAGGGTGATGAAGGTCTGTTAGCCACTCTAAAAACCAATATGCCACATCCCAATGCCAAAAGGGAATTACTCCAGTACAAGTGTTTCAACAGGTAGTTTCCTTGAGGTCTGATATGTAGAAGATTTGTGAAAAAAAGGAGCTTTAATTAACCTTTCACCTTGGTTTGACAGGAGTGCCATGCCCTACGGCGGTTTTGAAAAGGCCAATCAGTTTCTGAAATTTCAGCTGCCAGAAGCTGAGGCAGCCAAAGAAGAGCCTGAACCTGCAGTGGTGTACCATCATGACATTAGCTGCCGGCCTTCATTCAATCGCACTCCTATTGGCTGGGTGGGCAGCAGTGAGCCCAGCAGCATTCACATGGAGACGGATGCTGTGCCCTTCGATGGAGAGACCGACGAGCTGTGAAAGCATATTAATAGTGATTACTATGCACATACTCACACACAAGAGTAACTGCATGCATACACCATAGCATGCACACACAATAGTTGAGCTTACAATTAACTATTACACTGATGAATTTGAATCTCCCAGTGCGGACAGTTAAAAGCGTACAAACAAAATGAGGTCCTGATCTTAACATGCTCTTTATTTGGTTGTAAAGCGACAAGTTTTATTTGTTATGGGGAGATGAAACATCAAATGTCTATTTGATAAATTTATAAGTTGAGCCAAGCAGTCCTCTAATTTGTCTGAAAGTTTGCTGTTGTAGGTGAAAAATTGCAGATTGTCCCATTGAGGAATGAATCATATATGATGAATAGGTGATGAATGCTAAGTCACTATTGTGCAGGCTGTCTGAACTTGTTACCATAACTGTTATCGCTCAACATTGTCTTTTTTTTGTTGTTACAAATGTCTGATGATTTGCTGCGCTATAAAAACCTAAAAACTTGTTTAACTCAATATGCATGCTGTTGCTGATCCCTTAACCAAACAAAACAACACAACACAGTTTCTCCACAATAAACTGTAACACTGTAAATAATTTAGTGCACTCTGAATGAATTCTTGAAATATACAGTATTTGTATGTACAATGTAAATTACAGAAATGTTATTAACTATTAGGATGTCTGGGGGGGAGAAGAAGTGAACAAAACAAAAAAAGATCATCCTTATCATGCCCATGTCATATTGTGTACTCACTTGGCAAATGTCATGTGTGCTAAATACAGAACAGTTCTGTATTTAATTAATCTTCTAATTTTTCATTCAAGAAATGGAGAGTAATATAAACAACAACAACAAAAACCCATACACACTGATGTCTTCAGTATTATCTGAAAATTCCCGAAAGTCTGGGAAATACCTGGTAGCTTAAAGTAAAAACAAAATAAGAAATCGCGAGTAACTGCTATGAGTTCGGCTGAACTTCCAACACTAAAAATGAAATCACGACTAAAGTGCGTTTCTATTAATAATACTTCTCCAGTTAAGCAACTCCCGCACAATTGGGGGCAGTCATGTTCCAAAAAGTTCTAGCCAAGGAAAAGCAAAAAGAAGAATGCCATACCTTTGAATGTTGGATACCGGGGGAATCTACTGTCCAAGCACTATTATACAGTAAAGTCTGCAATCTACAACAACGCAATGGGCACCAGCCCAGTATTACTAGGTAACATTACGAAGTCTTCAACCGATGAGCTAGCTTAGCTAAATATGTATTTTGGTGGGATGGCTTACGGAATTTCCCAGGAAACCTCGCAAATTAATGCCCAAATTTGCATGTTGAAACATACATGCACCGACTTTATGTCAGTGGGCTCTTTTTAAGTTGAAATACCGAGACGGTTTCTGGTATAGAGTAAGGCTAACTTGTTTAGGCAGCTGAGAGGGTCGATACGTCATGGCCAGCAACCTCTGGACAGTGTTACCTAGCGACGGCAGTGCTAGCCAACAGATTAGCACTGACAAGCACTGCCGTCGCTGTGCGTCCTTCAGTCAGTAGAATGAAAGAACAACCAAAAAACACGTAATTTCCCTCCACACAAGCTTCTGCTGTGTTTCAACTAAAGGATAAATCTCAGGGTATATTGAAGTGTGCATTTAAAATAGGTTATGTGTGAAAATCAGTTTTAAAAGTAAACTAAAGAAAGTTCTCCAACCTTTGTAGTCTTCTTGTTATCTTCTCTTTGTGTTGTATATGCACACCCAAACAGTGTATTGATTATGAGAATTACTAAGAAGTATCACTACTGAACTATTTACAGTGTCTTGTTGCCATTTTTCGTGGTTTCCTGCATTAAATTGGTAAAATAAACTTGTATAAGCAGTACTGCATTGTTTAACTATTTATAACATGTGAAAGCAAGATTTTTTTCTAAATTATTAATATTTTTACCACATGAAATGAGTCAGAACTACAACAGATAGTTTCCAAACATAACTCTACTAGGAATTATGCTGAGTGTAATCTTGGTCTGTGGTCATTTTAATTTTTTTTTAGGTATACTATAGCGGATTGACTTTCATTGATGGCATCCATATCTAAAGCCCAGTTGGCTCCCTTGCCAAGGACAGAGGTCCTTGTCTATTGGGTGCTTTCCTTGGGCTCTCATCTCTACTCTTTCTATCAACTTCACAGGTTCAGCAAAGGTATAGTAGAAATATGACTACTGAAATATTAGTTGGATAAAATGAGAAAAATAAATAAATAAAGCTGTTATATCTTGTTTTTGGCCCAGAGTATGAAGCGGGATTAGAGAGAGAATTCCAGTTGGAAAAGGGCCTTGTTAAGGGTTTTAAAAGGGTAAGTTCAGTGCTGCATTTATTGATGGAAAGCCATGTCTGAACCAACAGACTAGATTTTAAGACTTCATAGTGTACTAAAGGTTTGTTGTAATTTCCAGTTCATTTTAAATTTAGAATAACAAAAATAATAATTTCAATTTAATCGATGCATAGAAATAAAATACCTTAACAGATTTACATTGTTTAAAGCTGCTTTTGAACAGGTTTCAGGTGTTATAAGTGCATTGTTTTGTTATCAGGACCCTTTAGATTTTGAGTGGAATTTCTGGACTGACTGGGCTAAGCACTCTTTACTGTGGACTCTGATTGGTCATGCTGTCTTATCAAGATTAACCAGCATCTTTTACCCCAAGGTATGGAGCTGTTGCTACAGTAATCTTTAAATATAATATAGGTGGCAAACAGTTTAATCCCACACATTTTTATGTGTTTTTCCATCAGCTTAGAGCGCCAGCACTTGCGATATATGGCTTCTTAGCAGCCAGCAGTGTTTTGGGGATTAAAGGTGTGAGTGTGCTGCTGGTACATCTGGGCTTGTCCTTTTCTATGGCCCAGCTGCGAAAGCCCGCTCTGTCGTGGGCATGTAACCTGCTGCTGCTCTACACACCTCATATCAACGAACTTCAAGACATCCAGGTGGGTTGACTTGGCTTTAACTCCTACAATAAATCTTTTCTTGTACGCTTGTAGGTGTTCTGAACACCTACAAAGCAACACCTAGTTCAAAAACAAACACAAAAATAGTAACTTTGACTGCATCAACAACAAACCACAGACTGTTCTGCAAAAACTGTTTTATTTCTACATTGTATTCGCAGACAAACACAAAGCCACTAAATCCTACACAAGGGGCTTGTGTAGGATTTAGTGGTATCTGCCAGTGAGTGTTTTTTTTTTTTTGTCCCATCCGTTTCTACTGTGTCCCACTGTAGAAACAGTGGCAGACTAATCCATCTGTAGATATGAAGAGATCATTGTAAGATGATAAAAACACAGCAGTTCTTATTTCCAGGAGATTACATGTCCTTTAAAACATGAAAAAAATCTTTTTTTAACTGCTATCCCAGCTTCATGGGGCAAAAGGCAGGGTATATGCTGCTTATTTATATATTTACCAGCCCATCACAGGGCTTTATAAAATATATAAATAATAATGTTAAACTAGTTTTTTTTTGTAGAAAACCTTTTGTTATCCTATAGCAGCATGATATCCAGTTACAATTTGAAAACTTCCTTTATCCTTGGGATTGTTACTAAATGTCATATTTGCCAAGAACACAAGAGGGCGCAAAATACTAAGGTAACCATTTGGTCACTTGCCTACTTTCTACAGAATATCCACATCACATGGTTAGGGTGAATTTATTTTGAGTATATTTATCTAACAGATCAATTTCCTCCATGATAAATGATAAATAGAGATAATTTCAGATGAAATGCAAACATTTAGATTCATTTTTTTAATGTTACTTAACCATTTCACTATAGTCCACTTATACTGTATAAATAAATAGAATATATATTTAGTGTCTATCTTAGTGCTGTTACTACTAATGCAATGATTTTGATGATTTTGATCATATGTAATTGGCCTTCCCACTGTATTACACAGAGAGGCTGGTATGCGAGTGATGAGGAGCACTATCTGCTACTCTTCAGTGTTGCTGTTTGTGGTCTGCGCTTCATCAGCTTCAGCCTGGAGCACTGCTGGAGCCCTGAAGACCAATGCAGTGTTGTGCAGCTTTGCTGGCTGTTTTCGTATACCTTCTATCATCCTTTTTTCTATAATGGACCCATTATAACCTACAAAAACTACATTGAGCAGGTAAGAGACATCAAAGCATTCTTCTAGATTAAACTGAGAATCAAATTTTCCTCTTTGTTTTTTTTTTATCTGCAAGAGACTGAAGCTGATTGGTGCTCCTGAGAGCAGATCTCCCTTTTACAGCACAAAAGAGCAGTAACATCACATGTTCACTTATTTTTTTAATCAGCTTATCTTTTTTGTTGTAGTTTTGTACTTATCCTTACATTATGTGTTGGCTCTTTTATTACAACCCTGGCAGTCCTTAACAACATGCTCTCTTGCTCCACTAACAGATGCAGAAGTCTGTGGAGGAAAGTAACAGGGATGAATCTGCCCTTAGTTACTTGGTGCTCAGATTAGGACGGATCATTTTGTGGTGGTGTATTGCAGAATACATGATCCACGTCATGTACATGCACTCCATCCAGTCTAATGAGACCTACATAGAAATTCTTCCTCCTTGGGCCTTAGGCAAGTCTTAATACTCTGTTTTTTTCCACCAACAGCACAGCTTTCTTAAAAATTTTACTTTACATTTACCTACTACATGCTACCACCACAGGATTATGTATGTTTTAAAATGTTCTCATATATGTGTGTATTTGTTTGTTTTTGATATAATAGTTTATTTGCACTTAAATTAAATATCAGCCCACTCTAAATTAGCAAAGCTGGTCTCTGACATGCACATAGAGTCAGATATACAGTTTATGCAGGTGGTTGTCTAAAATGTCTTTCATAAATGTTTTGAATGTTAAGCAAAAATTGGTAACATGAATTTTAAAACACCTCTTGGATTATGAGCTTATGTCGAAGATGATATAATAGAGAAAAAACACACTTGAGTAATCCAAGGTTACTGGTTATATGTTAAACCTGCACTACATCTGGTTTATACCACAAACGTCTGGGCAGTCGTGTTGTTGCAATCTGAGCACAGTTTGCTTATTGACACAAGTGAATTGGTGCCATCTAATTCTTCATTTCTTTATATTTTGCTTCCAAGAAGCCACGCTTTCTTGTAAGTGGTATTTTAAAGCAAATGTCTTGAGGCTTTCTGAAGGTCTGAAATACTTTGTTACTATTAGCCTGTTGCAAAAACATAATTTGTTCCAATTTTCTTCGTTCACTATATGAAAAATGCCAAGTTTGACACACATAAAATATTATTTCTGCAACAAGGAGATTCCTAAAAAGCTGTTCGCTAGACAATAGGCATATCTGAAAATTTGAAGAAATTGGACAAGTGGCCTAAAATCACTATACTGCAGATGAACAAAAATGTCATATCCTTAAGAAATTGGAAACAAAATCCAGCAAAGGACCTAAGAGATGCTTCTGGACTTGCAGTTGGTTTGTGTATTCTTTGCCAGAGCTTCATCAGATATGGTCTTAGTGGAAGAGTGGCCATTATGTATGCCAAATTATACAAAAACTGGACTTAAAATCGCTGATCTTATCTTATAGATCTTATTGAGTAATTAATCCAAATTTGAAATTTTTGGTTTAAATCGTTATCAATATGTAGAGAGGAGGTCAGGAGAGAGGTACAAGTGGAGGCTCTGTCATGGTTTGGGGCTGCATTTCAGCCAGTGTTGTCAGGGATTTGGGCAAAGTTGATGGAATTGTGAAGAAAGGTATATCAGATTTTGATCCACCGTGCTGATCCCAAACATACTGCTAATGCAGTAAAACAAGCCTGGATAGAAAACCACACATTAGAAAACATCAGTCAGGGATCGACAGGCAACATCCAAAGAAGAGCTTTGGAATGTGCTTCAAGAATCCTGGAGAACTATTTCTGAAGACAACTTAAAGAAATGACAAGAAAGCTTACCTAAGAGAGTTTATACTGTGTTGCATAATAAAACTGGATATACCATGCAGATGATAAATAATAATAATTTTTTTTTAAAAAAGAAGAAAATAGGAAGAAATGAAGTTTAGATCAAGACCTTTGGACAATAAGATGACTGGAAAACCTGTGGAACAAACAAATCACATCTAATCCTCCTTTCCCATATATCTTTTGAGTTTTTACTATAAATATAACATCATCATCACTAACATACGTTTGAGGATTATATAGAACTTTTTTACAATAAGAATTTTTGATTTCACCACCTACTTTCATTTTTGTCACAGGTGGTCTTGCTCTAGCTGTCGTCCAGTTCTTCTATGTGAAGTATCTGGTACTGTTCGGCCTTCCATCCATGCTCGCTACTTTGGATCAGCTGGTTCCTCCCAAGCTTCCCCGTTGTGTCAGCATCATGTACAGTTTCACAGGCATGTGGAGGTAAGACAGTGGAATCAATTCTGGGAAACCACAGTGATAGAATAACAAACATAGTACTATAGTGGTCTTACAGCTTTGCTATTTATTCCCTTTGCTAGAAAAGCTACCTTTCCTCATGTCCTTAAATTAAAACAAAGTCATTTATTGTCAAGTTTCAAAGTGGGCGCAGAAAATAGTTTCATTTTATGTTGTTAATAGTAAGAACAACAGGTTATCCTACACAAGACCACCTGAAGATCATTCTTTCAGACTCGTCATAATGATAAGCACATGTTAAGCTATTATTTTTAGGCCAATTTGTTTTCTTTAATTCATAATCAGCAGGTTTGTTGCAGTGTTGCTTAGACAGCAAGGAAATTATGAAACAAACTGAAAGCTTGTAGAGTAAAACCAAAAGCTTTAATAATTCAATTTTACTTGTGTGTCAGTTAAAGGAACCTGGATATTTCCGGTTTATTATTATTTTACGCAGTGCTGTGTAATTGTAAGAAACAGGAAAGATGCTTTGATTTTTTTTCTGTTTCGTGGTTTAGAATTTGCTCGTATTGAATTATTTCTGTCACAATGAGCGGAAAAAATAATAATAACTTGTCTTTTCACTTATTTTTTCAATTAAAATGAAAACTAGTCTAATAGATCTATTCCTAGTTTATACTGAAGGGGTCACAATTGCTCAAGTTAACGAACATGCAAAAGAAAACGCTTGTTACAAGGGACAAGGAATCTTATTCAGCAGGTATTTCATTAACAAAAACAATAACACACTGTGTATAAGTATATAAATAAGGATTAACATTTGTCCTAGAGTGCTGTTAGTATTTAGCCTTTGCCACTTCAGAAAATCTCTTTATGTATTTATATAGTGCAAAATATACATTCATTTCATCTTATCTATTACAAGCTTATACAGTGCAGTTATTTGTTGTTTAGTTCTTAAATGATTCACCTTTATGATCAGGTTTCATGTGTATGATGATGGCAGGTTTTACTTCATTTTTATAGGTTAAGGGTAGACAGTTGAAACAACTCTTCATATCTTAGAAATAAATCCTCCAAAGTAATAATCATCATCACAATGAAGTTGAATTAACATCTCTCTACAAGAGCTTATATCCTGCATCAAGGGACGCTTTACTGCAGGACCATTTTAGCTTGGCGTATAAACTAGCAGTTTATTATAGCAGTGGGCAGTTTTTAAACAGAACAAACATACCATTGAGTGTAAACCTTGAACATATTGCCGTCTGCAACAGAAGGAGTGACTCAAATTGGGTTTAGATCCTGGTTATAAATTACCAGAGTATTCCAGCAGTTTGTCACTTTCTCCCAGTACAATCAGTATTGTTCCCAAATGTAATTAACAGTGAGAAATTCCCCATATTTAGAGTACAAAAAGCTGAGCTAGAAGCATGTGTGTTGGTATTGCAGTAAAAAAAACGAAAAAATTACAGCTGTAGGATAAACGGACCAGTGTGCTGACACTGATGCACTCCAATCGAGCCTGTGTGTGTGCGCTGGTCGAATTCACTGATGGATTGCATAAAGCTATCCATCAACATTGCTGATGAAACAACTCCAGTTATAGACTGAGCCAAATCTAATCTTCTTAATGACAAAGAGGAAGCACATAAACACAAATGTGTAAACATACTTATTGCACAGGTCTCAGTTTATATGAAGCCCAGTGCTCAGCTGGTTCTTGCTCAATGATATATTATTATTATGTAAATTTGTGACTCAATGTATTTTTTTCACTCTTAGGCACTTTGATGAGGGGCTGTATCGATGGCTCATCAGGTAAGAGGCACTTGAGCGATGGACTGACTAATTCCAATGTTAATGCATACTTAAAATGAGAAATGTCATCTAAATCAAGTAATGCCTCAAGAATATCTACCTATCTGCATCCATTTATTTGTCTGTCTTTATCTATGTCTGTCTTATCTAATATTTGGAATACTTTTGTATCGCATTTGTTATCTATTATGCAGTTAAAGAGCTTATTTCCTGTGGGGCATTGAACTTGTCAGCTGAATAACCTTAAAAAAAAACATGCCATTCTCCTGCTGCCTGCCCACATTTTTCATCACAATGGATAAGGATGCTGCATTTGCATGTAGGCTTTCTCATGATTATCAGGTTGCATGTTGTTGGTGAACAGTTCCTCTATTGTGGCGCTGCCCGTGCACCCTGGAGAAATGCGTCCTTGTTTAATATGTGCATTTGTAATTTGCACACTTGTACTTTGGACAACACACATTATTGGTTTGTTTGCTTTTAATGATGCACACTTGGCTGAATGCAGCCTATTGGGAGTTTACGGTTTGCTTGGTGGAGGCAGGTTGCTACATTAAGGCAACGCTACAGTTGCATGGTTGTCAGAAAACACAGTGGAAATGTTCCCCTGTCTTGGTTATTATTTGCTAATTAGGGTTTTATTTTTTTTCTCAGTTGTGTGACGGGTACAGTATGACGGTGCATGTGTACATCTACTTTTATGAAAGAATGCATATTAGAGATTTAAAATGGCTCCAATTAATTTGCTTGAGATCCCAGAATTTAAATTGCAAATGCAAGTTTCCATTTTAATTTGTGCCCATTGGAAATTGTTTTCTCCTGCTTAATGGCATCAGTTGCAATTATCCTACCGCAGATGCAAAATGATACCCATGACACAATGCCCCCGACGTTCCTTCTTGCAAAAGTGCTTTTAAAGAGGTTTTAATGCAGTTCTGAAATTCAGTTGAAATTGTCTGAAGAGCGTTAGATGAGTGCGTAGGTGTTAAATGATGTACTCCACATGACTCACTGACACCCCGTCTCCCTGGGCAGCTAAGTGGCTCATTCTTCGCCATTCCATTGCGCTTTTCCTGTCTGTGTGCCACCGTCTCTCAGGTTCTCCATTTCACTCGCATTTAGTTATTGCCCAACAAAAGAGCTCTCACTGGGTTATTGATTGAATTATTGCAGCTACACACAAGCAGAAGCATTTGATCTCACACCTTAGTAAATATTGGTTGCAAATATCTAAGTGGGGGAATAGGTTGGGTATGGTGCAAGGTTAGAAATTAACTTCGGTTTTTAGTGCATTTAAAGCAAAACCGATTAAGTAAGCTGCATGCCTACACAACAACAATAATATACACTACACTCTTTAATTCCTAATCACAGTCGATAAAACCTGTGAGCATGTTGTAGTCTGCACCACCTGCTTGGATTAATCAGGTGTTACATAACACATTGATTAATCAGAGATTAATGTACAGCATGATATTATCATATTTTGAAAAACATCTGTTTAGAATCCATCTACATCCAAATGAATGTATTAGATGGATAGATACTCTGCATGTTTAGGTATTCAGTTTCCTCTGGCTCTGACAATCTGGTACCTTTCCATCTGTTTTCGCACCTACTTTCATCCTCAATATGGCCGAGCTGGCCACCCTATTTCAGGCTTAGAAAATGCTGGCTCATCTTTCAGGAACATTGATTAGCCACAGGGTGGCTGAGATAATGAGTTCCCAGCTCAGCAACACTGCACACAATGATTTGTTTGTTAAGTGTGTTGGAGTGATGTAGCATGTTCAGACTCTTGTCAGTACCTCTGGGACAGACAAGGTTCTCGCAGTATCTGAGGCAATTTTTCTTCACAGCATGCTCTGCATTTGATAACGACTGGACGCTATTCACATCCAGTGTGTTATCACATGAGGTGCTATTTTTATACCACATGGAACGTAATCTAATCTAAACCACAAAAATGAACTGCAGGAGCTGCGCTATAGCTTTACCGTTTGATGAATTACCTCATGAGAATTGTCGCTCTTTTATTTAACTGTGTATCCTCACAGTTTATTAACTGATACACTGAAGTCAGAACCAGGAGCAAAAGTGCGCTAAAGTGTTGAATAATACAGAATTTGTGAGTTTGACAGTGGGTTAAATGTGTGTGAATCATAAAACACTTAAAAACATTAACCCTCCTCCAGAGTTGTTAATAGGTTGATTAATATTCTCTGGTTTGCCTCTATTTTTGCAACTAGACGTCAAAGCCACGTTTAAAAGTAAAATCAGCATGACCACGCAGTTTTTTCTGGTTCTGATTAATTCATCTTTGCATTGTGGTGCTATTTTTACACTTGCAGTGTTTTGCACTGGTTAGTCTTTACACAGGTTAGAATCCCCTTTTTCATTTATTCTGTTGACACTGGATTGCTCTTATTTTTATGACATGTACTCGTGTTTCAGATACATCTATGTTCCACTGGGAGGTTCACGCCATGGTCCTCTTTGCAAAATGTTTTCCACTGGTGTTGCGTTCGGATTCGTCTGCCTCTGGCACGGTGGACATGACTTCTTACAGTACTGGGCCCTGATGAATTGGGCTGGAGTTCTGGTGGAAAATTCTCTGAAGTCTCTCTTTGCCTCGACCTTTATTCACTCCATAGTTGTAAGTTTGAAATCCATTGACGGTGCTAAAACATTAGGAGGTTTAAATTACCTATTAAGTCTTTCATATAAGATGTGTGGATGTAATAAAAATCTCTCCTGCAGTCAGAAATAAAGAGGTCATATTATGTTATTTAGTGAGAGATGATGCCTAGAGAGGGTACACTAATTACAGACTGGAGACAAACTGGCTGGATCTTGTCACATTTAATTGGGAAGTACAGTTAACCTCAAATATTCATGTTAGTAAAAGCCTGTTCCCAATTGCTTCTTTGGCCATAGCCTTGGGAGATGGTTCATGTTCTCAATATAGTGCTCATATCTGATGGCACACCGTGAAATCCACCTAGTTTATGGTCACACAGTTCATTTGTGCCAGGTGCCTCTCTGTTCCTTCTGCCATGTACAATAGAAATGTCTTGTGGTTCGCCTCTTAGTATTTATTTTTCTGATTTCCCAGGAGCAGAATTTCTCTGCGGCGATGAAAAGGCGATGCATCGCCCTTGTCTTCGCCTTCTCCACTGCTATGCTCATCCTTTCTAATCTGGTGTTCCTTGGGGGAATACATGTTGGCAGAATCTTCTGGAAGCGTGTCTTCATTCACGGTAAATTGCTTTCCACAACATTCACTCAGTGGGAATTGCGTGTGGCTTTATTTTGCAGGATTGTTTCAGCTGGCATTTGTACATTCTCCTGTGTGGATTATCAGCCATGTGCTCCTTTTAATTTGACAGCTGAGTTGCATTGTAGGACATCACATGTTTGCCCTCAGCGGTGAGAGCAGCTAAATATTGTTTTTCCTAAAGCAACAGAGCGAAGCCAGCCAGTATGTACTAGAAAATAAAATCGGAAATAAAATATAAGAAATCGTTAAAAATTTTGCTTCTCTGTAGGTTTGTGTATTTAACAGTTTTTCTAATTTAATTAATCTGCACAGGCGAATAAAGAGACATCTGCTTATGTGGTTGTGCCAGGACCTTTTTTTCTCCCAGTGTCTCTTTTTTTGGCTCATTGGATACCTAAAGAAAGATGGCAGCGCCTCTTGAAGCCTGTCTAGTTACGATAAGCAGTCTGAGCTGCACTCCCTGCTGCGCTGGGAGCACAGTCGGTACAAAAAAGCCCATCAGTGGAATGTCACATCATCAATATTGTATATTAACCAAAACTTTAATGTGGAATTTTAATTGAGTTGAATATGAGTTTACTCATTTATATCGCTAAAATGTGGCAAACATAGAGGCTGATTAAAAGTCCAAAATGTAAATTTTTATTCAAAGCTGGCAGAGGTCAAAGACAGTAAAGCAAGCAGCCCTGAAAAGGATCCAGAAGAAGAGCAGGCAAACACTAAATCCAATTGTCAGTCACAAAGGAGACAAACACAAAAAGATAAGAAGGAATAAGACAATCTGGCAGAGATCTGTGGAAACTGACGAGTGTATCTATATAAAAACTGTTGGGTGAGTCGCTAATTTAACACGGGAGAGAAACGGGAACCGGTGTGGAAGATGACACAAGAAAAACTAATAAGGCAGTGGCAAATAGAAATAAAATTACCGCAGGAAGTAAAACAGACGAGAAGCAGTGATTACAAAATAAAACAAGCAATAGCTTGAACCAAAACATGACATTTATCCACTTATGAGCAGCGGTGGAAGCTGTACAACAACAACATTTCTACCCTGTAAAGTTTGTACAAGTGTTGGATGTTAGGAAACAGCTGCTTAATTGCTTCATTCTCTCTTTCTTTCTTTCTTTCTTTCCAGCTCTTTCTTTGACTCTACTAACTCCTGAGGGAAATAAGTGACTCTTTAGCTGCTAAATACATTTACCAGCGAGTCCCAGACTGTGCCAGTGTGCTTATGTGTGGTGCTGAAACTATGGTTTACACTGTGCTCATGAGAGCTGAAAACAATTGCCTGCTGTTTAAAATAGGATTTTAAAAGGAACTTGAAGAGATGAAAGTTGTTACTAAGCTGATCTATGTAGTGCCAGGGTTTTGGTTTTTTTTTTTAACAATGACAGATTGTTGTTTTCATTCATTTAAAAAATACATATATATTGATGTGAAGATCATTAGTATTGATGTGAATGGTTTACTGTTAGATTTAAAGGTTGTGTAATATCACCCATGAATGCCATGGCAAGAGGTAAAGTCAGGTAACAGATAAAGGGCAAAAGACCGTCTTTCTATCTCATGCTGATTTTAGTTCATGTTGTGCAGTGAGTGTAAATTCACAAACTGAAGCACTTCTTTATTCCTTTTCTTTAACACTATTTATTATTTTAGCATTTCTGTTTATACCACAGTCTGTGGGATCTTAAAGTCAACCCTAAGCAGTCTGACAGGGTATTTTCCAGTCACCACTTAAAATTTTGTTGAAGGCAGCAAATGGTGCGTAACTTTACACCTCCTCTAGCACTCCTGACCTCCTTCGTGCTCACAAGACTGTAGTCTCGGTGTAAATAAGTTAAGAGGAACCTAAAAATAAGTGCATGGTGTTTGAAAATACCATTTCAGTTGTGAATTATTCAGAGTAATAGCTGCGCAATAGCTGAGAATCTCAGTTTGCTTTTATGGGGATTTATTAAGATCATTGAAATGCTAAAAATAAAGACTGGAAAATTAGAAATACATGATTTAACAAATCACTTAATAAGCTTGGTTCTTTCACTGATTACATGTGTTTTTGCACTTTAAATTGATATATAATGGTTCCAGCAGAAACGCCTGAGGCAGTTACTTGTGTCTGCGTGTGTCCTCACAGGAAACTGCAGAGAGGGAGCTGTGGTTTCATTAACATGAGTGTCTGGGACTGTGAGTGGTGCAGGCAGTAGTGTAATTGCTCCCTGACCTTTCTGGCAAAATGTACAACAAACAATTTTCTGAACACACTGTGTGTCTTAAGTTGTTTGTGTTAACAGTGTCCCCTTGAGTCTTGCACCTGAAAGCCCCAATGTACTCTAAAGTTACAACTAAGAGACAGACCAAGTTTTAATTCAAGAGTACACAAACACAGCAAAAAGTACCACTGCACTGTTATGTGTGGGTTTTTTTGTTTGTTTGTTTATTGCACGCACAAATGTGCTGATGACATCTTCACTGTTACCCAAGGAGTACTTTTTGTGTTTCATTTTTAACTGCAAAGATTCCTTAAAGCTCAATTCAAGGCACATGAAGTCCTAAAACTGGCAATATTTCCCCTTAGAACATTTACCTAACATTGGTAGAATTGCTATATATTTACTTTAGGCAATAAACGTGTGTTGTTCCCAATTTTAGCACATTCTTTTTTGTCTAAATAATAATAGTACTTTCTGGGAAGAGACACAAGTCCCTTCTGGGGTTGCGTCAGGAGGGACATCCAACATAAAAGCATGCCAAAGCAAACATGCGGCGCTACCCACTGTGGTCGGCTTAGCAGATGACTCCCCGCATTTCATTTTACCGTAGACTTTTACACCAGCTGTCCTTCTTATTTCAACCCTTCCAAGGATTTATATCTCCTCCAAATCTTGAAGCAGAAATCTTTTGTGTGTTAGGCCAGGTTGTTAACCACTACACCGTTAAGCCATAGTATTAGCGTTTCAGAAGCTAGTTTTTTAGTGTGCAAGCATGCTAACATTCATTAAGTAGCACTAAACAGATCTTGTGTATAAAAGATAGGTGGAACCCTTATCTGATTTGACTTTCTTTTCTTTGTTTATTTTAAAGCAGACATAACTGTGATTGGGATAAGACCATAGAGTTGCTAAGCTAGCAGTGGCTAGTTAGCTTTGTTAGCTGGGTGAATCTATAATCCACTGATAAGAAATGGGACAGAGTCCATAGAAAAATGACTGAGTGACTGTCAGTGGTAGGAAAACAATCACATTTTCCTCTACTTCTGCCTTTCTAGTGATATTATATAAACAAAGAGGTGAAAAAAAGCGCTAACCTACAATTTTTAAGTTTCTTTTTTTATCTGAAAAGTTGTTCTGGTCATCAGTTGGTTTTATTTTGTTTTTAGATTTTAGTTGCCTGCAAAAAACATTGCGAATATTCAAGAAGAAACTAAAACACCAAATACATTTTTTAAAAATACAATCAGTTCCAACATATTTCTGAAGTTACATTTGGCTAGTAGTGTTTCTTTCAACTTTGCCTTTCTACTATGTTAGTTGTTGGCCACATTAAAGATTGGATAACTGACTGGAGAACATATTTCACACTGAGGGTGTTAATGAAATGCAGATACCTGCAAAGGCAAAACACTGGGATGTCTTTGCTCACAATGTACACGCAGACTAGAGGGCTTTAAATAATGAATAAACAGGTGAGAAAGGCTTCATATAATGATAGCTTATGTGAAAATGGTTATACCCAATGTGATTAATAATTAGTTCATATTTACTAAAACATCAAGGCTTTTCTTAAAGATGGTTGCAATCAGACAGAAACGCACTATGCATACTACACAACACAAAACTTATCCTCCGTGCGCCATTAAAATATTTTGCATCATAATAAAGCTTTTCTGGCCTCAGCTCATGTAACCTTTTTTTTTACGCAGACAGCAAACTGACAGTACAGCTGTGCATAAAGCAGCCAGTGTGTACGTGAATTAGATTTTGGCATGAATAGAAAAGAATAGACCATTGAAAAGCATTGTGGGTGCAGGTGCAGGTTACTGAGATAATCTGGAGGCAGGCCAGTTGGGGAGGAGGTGCAGACAGCTGTCCTTACCTGCCTGCACGACCCTCGGAGAAACAGCTAAATATAGAAAAAGGAGGGGAAAAACGTAACACAGTATGTGCAGTATGGCACATAGAAATGAGCAAACCTACTCACTTAGCATATACTTTTAAGCTGCATTTACGCTTCATTCATAAATAAATAACTGACAACAATACATAGACTGCATTATCCAGATAGTTTGTAAATCAAAAAACATGCAAATATATTTGCTTTCTTTTTGTTTCAGGCTGGTCTACCATGGCCCCACCAATGCTAGCTTTCCTCTACTGCTATGCTCAGATTGGACTTGAGTGGACTCCTCACCCACTGTGAGTCACCTTGACTTAAGAGCAGTGACTGCGAATCCCTGCTACTGGACAGATACAACAACCTGCTGACTCCACTGCCTTGCTCTCACCAGCCAGAGTCTCACTGTGGTGGACCTGGCTCATAGCCACACAACCTGTCCAAACCTGGCTGAAGTACGGCTGAGCAGCCACTTTCCAAAACCCGCAGGTCTGCACAAAATTTGTCTGTAAGCTGATACTTACAGAGAAAGTTTTCTGAACTTTGGGTGAAATGTAAGTGCACCCAAACTGTAATAAAATGCTGAAAATTTAGGGCAGTCTGTAATAGCAGCCCTGAGGCAGTAAGCTAGATAAAATCACTGCTATTCTAAGAAACTGTAAAAGAAAATGTGGACTCTGAATCTCTCACTTGGTTATATGACTTTGACATGGTATTGCTCGGAGTTGCAGGAAGCTGAAGAAAATACCGTCTTCCTGTAGCTCTCCACAAAAAACAATCAGATGTAGACGGTTGACAAAAAAAAAGCATATCCAGCTGCAGCTTTTGATTCAAAACACTAATCCTGTTGATTATCAGTTTATTACATCTGGGATGTAATAAATGACAAGCTGTTTTTTGGCTTATTTGTTGTTACACACTAAATCACCTTTCATTTCCAAAATGTCAACATAACAACTAAATTTAGACAAAAGTAAAATCTCATTTTGTTGCAAAACTCATCTGCCATCTGTCCAAATCTGTCAAGTACTTGGTCATCAAGGACTGTCAGAATGTGCCTGCTCAGTCAAAGCAATGTGATTAACACTGAGGGTTATGAAACAGCAGAGGAGTCCAATCCATTTGTGGTTTACTGTAAAGCTTTTGTTTCAAGGGGGTTTTGCAAGTCATAGGCTGATTACACATGTGAGAGTGACACTGCTGAATAATGTGCATTAGAGCTGATAGATGTTGTTGTGTGTGTTTGTGTGTGTGTGTGTGTGGGGGGGGGTATTTAAGGCACTTTCGAATTGTATGTTCAAAGTTACACTGCCAGATTAAATGTCAATGTATATTACTCAATATTCACTCCATTTACTTCAAAAACAGGTATTATACTGTACATATTAAGAATAAATATAATTATAGCCTTATATACACTCCGTGTTACTCAGTGTTGTTCAACTGTTAAACATTTCTAAGGATCGTAATGTAAATATCTAATCAGCTAATCACATGGCAGGAACTCATTGCATTTTAGCATGTAGACATGGTGGGAAAAAAGGTGATTTAAGCGACTTTGGACATAGCATGGTTGTTGATGCCAGACAGGCTCATCAGGGTATTTCAGAAACTGTTGATCTACTGGGATTTTCCCAAAACACTGTCTCTAAGGTTTACAGCGAGTGGTCCAAAAAAGAGAAATTACCCAGTGAGCAGCAGTTCTCTGGGAGAAATGCCTCATTGATCCCAGAAGTCAGAGGAAAATAGCTAACTACTTTGAATTGATGGAAAGGCAACAGTAACTCAAATAACTAAGTCACGCAGAAGAGCATCTCTGAGTGCACACCACGTCAGCGCAGATGGGTTACAGCAGTGGAATACCACACCAGGTGCAGCTCCTATCGGCTAAAAATGGAAACTGAGGCATCACAATTCACACAGGTCAATAGGAGGTTAGAACAATCTTGCCTGCTCTGATGAGTCTAGATTTCTGCTGTCACATTTGGATGGTTAAGTCAAAATTTGAAAAAATGACATGAAAGCATGAATCCATCCTGCACTTGTAGCAGTTCAGGCCAGTGGTGGTGGTGTAATGGTTTGAAGAGCATAATTTGGGCCCCTTAATGCACCCTGTCAGGGTGGTTAGATTATCTGAAACTGGTTTCTCCAACCTGGCAATAGGTTCAATGTACTCAAATGGCCTCCAGAGTCACCAGATCTCAATCCAATAGAGCGCCTTTGGGATGTGGTGGAATGGGAGAGTCACAACATGGATGCGAAGATGACAAATCTTCAACTTCTCTCTTCAACAATCTCTGATGACTGTTTCCAGCACCTCGTTTTATTAAGGCAATTCTGAAAAAGGCAAAAGGGAGTCCGATGAGGAATTAGCATGGTGTAACTAATGACACTGATGGTGAATTTTTACTCCTGCACAATTGCCCCATTTTTAAAAGCAAGTGAAGAAATGACACAGAGGATGAGAGGGATCTCTGAAACCTCTTCGGTAATAACGATAGGGAAATCATCTTCAGGCACAGAGAGTCACCGAGGCATTGCTCCAAACATATGTCTTTTTGACATGTATTTGATGGCTAATATCTATTAAGTTTTTTTCATCATATGGAGGGGAGATTGTGAATTTAACTGACATCATCATAATGAGTGGGGGGGGAATGTAATGACTTAGTATTTCATTAGAGAAGCTGACACTTTTTGAATACTCTGTTGTAGCCAGATATTTTTTGGGTGCCAGCACCTACTACTTCTGCCTCAGCTTCAATTTTAATCCATTAAAAATGTCAGCTCTTCTGAGAGCTTTTTGCCAGTATGTTACAGGCTTTAAATTTTCATATTCTAGACCGAGGAACTCCTTAAGCCTTCCATAAATCATCATGCAAAAATGATTTTAAAACAGCTTTAATCTAAGGTTGATGACTATAATGTATTCAATTGTATGCAAATGGTGTAGGGCTGTTCGATATATATCGGATGACAATATAAAAACGTTGTGGTGTCACAAAATAAACTGTTTACGGCAATATTTTTTCATTGTTCTGATGGTCACTGTAGTGGCTATATTAATTTCTTAAAGTTCTCTATTTCTCTTATATTTAATATAACCACACTACTGACAGACAAGCGCCTGTTTTTATGTGTTGTGGTTAGCAACAACGACGGTAACGCCATCGCGTGTCCGCTTGTTTATGTTCCACACAAACCTTTCACAATAAAGCTCAAGATCCTGTTGAGACTTTTCAAAATAAACTGAATCACGTGAAAGAGCAGATTATTTACGGATGAGAATTAAAAAAAGAGTTGCCAGGTGCTAAAAAATAAACCTTAGACTCAAACATTAGAACAGGCTTTTCCCCGCAGCACGCCGTGTAATAAATACTCACAAAGAAAACGGCGGCTGTTACAACTTATGTCTAAAAATGTATAGTTTCATGCATCGGTTAAAACACTCGACTCCAGGTACATGACGCGCAGCTGGAAGCAAGTCGAGCTGCCCGAGATTCACAGAATTTACAGAAAATGTTACATTTTTTGTGATTTATATTGTTATCGGACGATAGAATTCTTATATCGGGATATGAAATGCAGATACCTCACCCACCGTCATACCGCACAGCCCTAATGTGGTGTGTAAAGCTAGTTGCCAAAAGAAAGAAACATCTGAACGTGCCAAAACATAAAACAATTTATCTTCTTAATGTTTTTCTGACAGTCACCCACTGTGTCCCGTTGAGCCTGGTTATTTACTAATAGTTTTTAAAATACATTATTAAATGTTCTTGTGACAGCAGATTAGTGTTTACTACATATTTTAGGACAGGGATTGAGTACATCAATTACAATCAGTCCAACACTGTAGCTCTTTGATGAAATTTTGAAAAAGGTTTTGACAAAAGTGATAGTATATGACACATGAGTGTAATAATTGGTGAGATCAGCTCTACTGAAACTGTTTGTTACCTTTTGTTTTCCAGACTGATCCTTAAAGAGAGGTTGAAAATTCTTTGTCGCATGGCAAACCAAACTGTGGAGAGTTGAATGTGAAAATTCATGAAAACTAATCAAATAACCATAAGCCATTCAACAGAAATTAATATTAATTTACCTCATTATTCAGCCACGTTGGTAGAAGAGAAAGAAATCTTCACATTAATCGGTTATGAAAGCCTGGAACATGTAATTTATTAAGAGTAAATTTTACATTTTAAAGTTTGACCAGTGAGCCACAGCACAGTTTTTGGCAACCAAGGCTACCAACTCCAAGGGATTTGCATCTGCTCTTTACTTTTCAGGGGTTTGTCAACATTTTTTAAACTTCCTGTTTAAGTACTTAAGTAATCTGTGCTTTTCATGCAATGTGGCAAAACAGTCTGGGGTTTCTTGCTATTCACAGTGCACAATAATGAAAGTAAACAGCTTCGGGGTACGGATTTTAGAAGATTAGGTTAGGAATTAATGAATTTTTAGTCAGATGTGTCATAACTGAAAGCTATTACCTTGCCTCAGGGTCCTGAGTTTCGCATGATCATGCCACAGCAGCTGACTGTCCCCAAAGTTTAAATTGCTTAACCTGCACTGGTCTGCAATTTGGTGTATAAACACTTGTATGACACAAGCTTGTCTGCCCTAAAGTAACAGAAGTACATTGTAATCTGGACTCTGCTGTTCTGAGAAGGCTCAGGTCTTTCCATTAGTTGATGTCTTTCATTGGGATAATCACATCTGTGGCACTAAGGAGGATCAGTGGGTGCAGTGAAGAATCCTTTTAATTAGCACAAAAGTGTGAGGCTTATCTGACATAAGAAGATCAGCAGCAGAATACACCTGTTGGGTTACACCTTCTTAGAGACGCGTCCTAATCGTTAACAGAGGAGCTATAACGCAACAACACGAAAGACACCCATGAACCATTGCCTGAAGAGATCTGACAGCGTGCAGCATGTATAAAATATTTATTATGAATAGCACAGTATGTCACAGTTCATAACACAGAGTTTCCATTGTGCTTAAAATACATTTCTCATCACATGACGTGAACATAGAGGCATGTGCATAATACATAAACCATACATAAAATTCAAATTCTGCTCTTTCTTAAGAATCCAAACGTTGCAGTACAACTTGTGCATATCTCTCTATATATCTATTTCTATATCTCTGTGTAGAGTTTGCTAACTAGGCAGCTTTCCATAGCTGACCACAAAAATAGATCAGTGTAAATCTTCTCAAAGGAGCAACAGTAATTTGGGTATTTAATGCTTCTTGGAAAAGGAGAATGGAGCAATATCATGAAGGCACAGTGTTGCATGCTTCTCAGTAGCAATCAAAGGTAACGACTTTAATATGTAGATGTTGATGTTATGAAACCGTGGTGCTGTACTTGGTAACTTAATGTTTTCTATACTTGCGTTGTTTTTTGGATCAGTTTTTTGTTTTTTACAAATGTTAAAGCAAAAAACTACATATTGCTTTCAAGCATTTTAGAGTGCATTCCTTTTAGGATTGTATATTTATGGCCTTGCCACAGGCCTAAGTGAGAGTACCCTGCACGGGCCATATCTTTGTTACTGAGCTGCATGAATCAGATTTGATGTTTTTTACTATTTTCATTTTGAAAACAATCAGATTTGCTTTTATGCCTTAATGGAACAAATGTAAAAGTAATATAACAGTAAATTTACAATATGAATAAAACCGACCACAATGAGGGAATAAGGTACATACCAAATGATAGTCATAGGTTGTGTCATTCATAATAAAAGTTTAAATATATGAATATTACCAGCTCTGTCATTGATAAAGTGAAACAGCAATTTATTGTGGCTTCAGTGAAAATATTATATCTTAAAGGGGACCAGTTACACTCATTTCCAGCTTCACATTGTTATTCTTGGACTCTACTAGAATAGATTTGTATGATTCGCAGTTTAAAATAAACGTTTAAACTTTATGTTAGGCCTTGCAGCCCCTCAGTTCATCCACTGTCTGAATCAAGTTGTTTTAAGGCTGATATTGATTGGTGATTGGTTGCCTCTCACAGATTTTAACAGGTGGGAGGAGCTTCTGTTAGATGACCATATTAGGAATATCTGTTTTCTCTGACATCAACCAGTGTTAAAAAACAAAACAAAAACAAGAAAAACTCTGAAACCTGAGCATTTGGTTAAAAGGAATTAGTCGCACATGTACTAACCTTACTTTTTTTTAATCTTTCACCATATTTAATGAATGCCTCTAAAACTGTAACAGGAAAAAGCAAAATAGATCCAATTTAATGTGCCATTTTTCCCAAAAAAAAAATCAGTGCAGGTGTTTTAATTTAATCTTCTGTTTGACACGAA